TATAAGGCATTTATAACATTACTACATATTTCTATTTCAAATAAATGTTGTTTTTTAACTTTCTATTCATCCATAAAATCCTTAAGTCCAAAACAAAACAAAAGCTGCTGAAAATTCAGCTTTGCCATCACAGGAATAAATTACATTTGAAAATATATTAAAATAGAAACCAGATATGCTTAATCCTAATAGTATTTTATATTTTCATGTTTTTACTGTACTTTTGATCAAAAAAAGCAGCTTTAGTGAGCATTACAATATCTTAACAACCCCAAACTTTTGAATAGTAGTGTAAATAATCAATTTGTTTTTAAACAAACTGCAAATAAGAAATACATTGGCAGCATTCCATAATGCACCATAAGGGGCTGTTCACATAGTACACATTATTGCGTCTATCTGGGCTATTTTTTAATTGTGTAAACAAGCATTAAATGGATGCTTTTTCAGCATCTAAATCCCTGAGCACTATTAGCGAGGCGCTATATCACTTTAAAAGTAGTTTAACTTTAAGAAATATGTTCTATTGCATTCTCATGCTGTTTTTGAATAAAATAGCACATCCTGTGTGAGCGGCCCCTAGCAGAGCAGGAGCAAAAATGGTTCCGTGAAAGCACCCTGTGAAACATTACTTCCTGTTCTGCTTTCATGAGAGCCGAAGGTCTTCTTCTAGAAGGTCAAATCTAGCCAGCAATATAGTTGTGAGCCAAAGGCCTCCATTAAACATTCAGAGAAAGGGCACATCAGCCCTTTTCGTGGCGTTTTCCATCCTTCGCTGTGTTATTTCTTCATGAAGTGGATATCCAGATGTTGAAGATTACATCACAAATAAAGCCTTCCAGTGGGGTCAGGGCTCACGACCGAGCGCAAAGCCACAGAACTCCCACGGTTAGCGCGGGAATTCTGAACTTTCTGCACTCCGAAATCACTATCAGTGTTTAAGAGTATCCATGGTGAGGAAGGCATCAACTGCAATGTTCCCAGGGAGATAGAACGACACCTTTACCCATTACTGTACGGCTTATTGAGCTTCAATTACTCCTAACACACACAATGATAAGAGAGAAAGAAATCGAGAGAGAGAATAAGCGAGAGAGAGAGCTTCTAAGGGATGTGAAAGAGATGAAACAGGAGGCAGTGAAAAGGCCTGCTATTAGATGTCACTGGCCTTTTGTGTCCGTGTCAATGAGAGCAGATTAAAGTATTTGAAATAATCTTACTGGGGAATTAACAGAGCTCAGAAGGTAAAAGAGGAGACGAAAAGGAGAAGACGAGGAGTCAATCACGACATACATACATTTACACATGAAATGAGATTAGATACAGCCATCCAACGTAAACTAAACACACCCTCTGAGAAGAAAGCTAGGCAGTTTTAATTTCACGTGAGTAATTCAATTTACCCCAATCAGATTTTCAAAAGCTTCCCAATGAGTCCAAAGACTCGAACCCGGTCCCGTGAGCGCACGTCTCGCACTGCTGCTAATAAGGCATTGTTAGTTGGCTTTATTTCCCTGACATTCCTCCGGTTTCGTTGAAGTGGCCTGTTGTGCCGTCTTATGAGAGGAACCTAATTAGGAAATCACTTTCATTACTCTTCCAGAGGAATTAGCGCTAGCCTTGCTAATTACTGCTGTAAAACCTAATCAGCTCTTTGAAACAAAACCACATTAATGAGCTCTTATTTATTCAGCTAAATAACTTCAAGGAAAGGAAGACGCTCAAAATCATATTTTTGATGAATTTGGGAGCGCGCGCTCATCTGCGCTTGCCATAATTGATTCTGTTCCATCTTGTGCCTTGTTTGTTGGGAACCCCAGAATGTGAATGCGGCCAAGAAAATATTGAGAGTTCCAGTAAACTCTTCCATATCCCCCCCCCTCCCCCCTAGTTTCAAATGACCTATTTTCCCGGCTTTGAGAGACACGTGACTAATAGGAAACTGTTACTAATTCCTTTTTTATTCGCAGGCAATTAGCGATGCCCTCGCACCTGAGCCTAAAGGGCTCTGCGGTGACCTCGAGCGCAGCTGCATGACTTCAGTCAGACCCAAAACACAACCGTTCAGATCACAAACAGCTACAACAGGAGGATCTGAGGAAGCATTTCAGACAAACTTTATGTAGGGAAACAATCAAGAAGAGTAAGTGATGGGCAGTGTGTTTGTGTGAGCTTGTGCGTTGGGTGGAGGTGATGCCACGTGGCATCGAGGGGCTGCAGCTGTCTTTGAAAGCTGTGAAGTGTTCTAGCCCAGTGGAGCAGAAATGGGCCAGCCGCACAAACACAGCAGCCAGGTAGAAGCCTCTCTTACTCTGTTACAAACACGCACACACACTTCACTACTGCTGGCAAACCTACAGCTGTGTTCATCTGATAGCACAGGCCACTGACTTATTCACACACAGGTGAGAACACACCTTTGACACTTAACCGCACTTTAATCTGCAGAAATCCATGCTTAGTTTGCTCGCACCACGGCACGATCGAGTCAGAAATGAAACAGTCTCGCCCTCAATAATAACGTGACATGGTGGTATGATCTTTTAAACAAAAACGGTAGGAGACGTGCTTCGCTGCACACACTGCTGCCTCCAGAAATCTTGTACATCTTCACTGCTGATTATTCATGCATACACACTTCATAGCACACTACATACTCAACAACCCCGACAGGGCCTCAAAACAGCCTAGCCCGATCACTAAACAATTACTGTTTTGCAAACAAATGGCTTCTGGTCCCAGGAAGCCTTTTTTATGCTTGTTGTCAAGTTGTTTTTCTCACTGATGGTGAATTCTTTGAACTGCTGCCTTTGATTTGCAGCGTTTTATACTGAGCAATATAGCGTATACAGTGATATAGAGCAGCTACAGAGTGTGTTCACAAAGTGTTCATAGAGCAACACTTGTAATTTTGATATGTTTGAAAGTGAATTGAATTTATTAAGTGCCTTATCTGCATTAAATATAGGCTCTTATTTAATTTGATATGAATTTAAACAGGTTTATATAGAAAAAGAAGTACAGTCTGTTATTTGTTTGTACTTACCCAAGGGTGTAGTTTTGGTTTGAGCATGGGGGGGGCCCGGGCCATGCTCGTTCATAAGGTTTATGTGTGTGTGTGTGTGTGTGTGTGTGTGTACCTGGTATTTATCACGTTATGGGGACCAAATGTCCCCACAAGTATAGTAATACCAGTAAATTCTGACCTTGTGGGGACATTTTTGAACAGTATAAAAACCATTACACCTATGGAGAGTCCCCACAAAAAATGGAAACCAGTGTGTGTGTGTGTGTGTGTGTGTGTAGCCTATTTTATATTATTTAGGCACTTATAGGCTATAGATTGACAGGATGTTCTAATTCAACACGCCATGGGAAGTCAATTTTAACATTTTCCTATATTGATATTGTTTATTTCTTACTCCTTAACAGTTCATCATGCTCTGAATGATTTAATCTATGCCATATTTTGGAATAGGCCTATCTGAAGGCCATGTTCCATAGTTCTTAACTGTAGCATTTGTTATAATAAGACTAGCCTATTAATCATTACCAGGCCAATAATGACTTTTTTTAATGAATCAATATAGCTTTTGTTATGAAGAAACTACCGCCTGCACATTTAGAACCAATAGCTACAACATGACAAAGTTGTAATAAAAATCGAGTCCCTTCACAGATTATCTAATATAAATTATACAACAAGTTTGACTAAATTTTACACAATAAATAAGCCTACAGTAAAACGTGATAATTCCTATGGAGAGTCCCCACAAAAAATGGAAACCAGTGTGTGTGTGTGTGTGTGTGTGTGTGTGTGTAGCCTATTTTATATTATTTAGGCACTTATAGGCTATAGATTGACAGGATGTTCTAATTCAACATGCCATGGGAAGTCAATTTTAACATTTTCCTATATTGATATTGTTTATTTCTTACTCCTTAACAGTTCATCATGCTCTGAATGATTTAATCTATGCCATATTTTGGAATAGGCCTATCTGAAGGCCATGTTCCATAGTTCTTAACTGTAGCATTTGTTATAATAAGACTAGCCTATTAATCATTACCAGGCCAATAATGACTTTTTTTAATGAATCAATATAGCTTTTGTTATGAAGAAACTACCGCCTGCACATTTAGAACCAATAGCTACAACATGACAAAGTTGTAATAAAAATCGAGTCCCTTCACAGATTATCTAATATAAATTATACAACAAGTTTGACTAAATTTTACACAATAAATAAGCCTACAGTAAAACGTGATAATTCTAGTAAAGGTGGTCATGAGTAGTTTAAGGGGGGGGGGGTTGTACTTGCTAGATTTGGTTATTGGGGGGGTTATATCCCCCACAAACTACACCCCTGTACATACCAATACAAAGTTTGGGGTCAGTAATTATTTTTTTAATCAAAAATACATAGTATTATTGTGAAATATTATTACAATTTAAAATGACTGTTTTCTATTTAAATATTTAAAAAAAATGTATTTGTGTGATCTTATCCATGTTGAAAACAGATGTGCTGCTTAATATTTTACAGAAAACCATGATGCTTTTTAGAATACTTTGATAAATAGGAAGTTTAAAAGAACAGCATTTACTTCAAATATAAATCTCTTGTAAGCTTATTAATGTCTTTAATGACATCCTTGATCAATTGAATGCATTCTTGCAACAAAAAAAAATTCTTACTGACCCCAAACTTTTGAACAGTAGTGTATACTGGTAGTGTATGAAGATATAAAGATTTATTTTCTTTTTCATTTTGGGTCTTAATTGTTTTAGGAAAGTGTGGAAGGGAAACTTAGAGCAAAAATGTTCCTGTGTCAAATTAAATATGGAATCTACCCTGACAAACTGTGTTAGCCTTCATAATTCACTACATTTCAATTACACCACTTTCAACACTTCCACTGGACTTCCTGTCTAGCAAGGCGTGTAATGATCAAATATGTTGAAACGCACATACAAACATCTGATATCCAGCTCTTACCTGTCAATGATGACCGGGTCAGAGGGTGTCTCGTTGCGATTGCCACAACTTTTCTTGTCACAGCAGCGGCTAAAAGAGGGAGAGAAAGAGAGGAAGAGAGAAGTTAACCTGGGTGTTCCTGCACATATGTCAGCACTGACCTCAAACACAGTGGAGAAGGAAGAGGTAGCAATTATAAAGCAGTATTTCCTTCGCTCCTCCAAAGCAGACATTCACTCCTGCTGTACACACAGCACACAATATGCTGCCTCTCGGCCTGTGTATTAGTAATTACTGCTAACAGACTGCCCGACTCAGGGACGGTCACTGAAGGATTAGAAGTGTGGCTGATAACAGGGCAGTTATCGAGTGATGGAGAGAGAAGACGAGGCCAGAGAGCAGGAAAGGAAAGAATCCAGGAGGAGAGGTGAAAGTAAAGAGGGCACTTAAAGGGGACTCTTTTATAATACATCCTGGAAGGATTTCAGATCGGACAGACGGGGAAAGTTGCCTGTGTGTGTGTTTTTTAAGGTGTTGCAAATGTGTTCCCAAAAGAAAATGTTTCATTTAAATATACACTATATTGCCAAAAGTATTAGTTAAACCGAACAGGTTTGACTACTTTGGTCATTTCCATGAGTACAAATCTTAATGTTTAAGCATATAATGATATTCTAGGGAATTGTGGGCTTCTAATTTTACAGCAACAGTTTGGACAGGACCCTTTTCTAATCTAACATGGCAATGTCTCTGTGTATAAGGCAAGGTTCAAATAGAAATGATTGATTCAATCAGTGTGGAAGAACTTTGACTGGTCTGCCAAGTCCTAATCCCAGCTGAACACCTCTGGTGTGACTTTAAAAGCAGATCTTGAGCCAAAAACTCATCACCAAACACTAATGACTTGAATATATGGGTACAGTCATTTTAGACACTTCAAAAACTGTTGCAACAGAGATGGAAATACAATTTTTAAATACACAAATTATGTTTCCATCTTTGTTGCCACAGTTTTGAAAGTGCCTTTTTCTGTTCTACAGAAGGGGTGTCCCAATACTTTTGTCCATATAGTGTATTTATTATGTAATATTTCTATAAATAAATTATTTTAATTCTAAATGAAAATTATAATCTATAAATAAGAAAAAAATCACTATACTATTTATATATAAAATAAATATTATATATCAGATATATTTCTATTTTAAAATACAATATTTTTGTGTATATGTGTATATGTTATTATATATATTTAAGATACATATATATATATAAAATATTTATTATTATTATTATATATAATTGATATATTTATTAACTTTATATAAACTTATATATACTTTTTCTAATTTATATTTATTTTTACAGTTAATGAAAACAGAAAAAAGTCGGCACACTTAGGCTCCAAAAATTTTTATAGTTACAGTTTTTCTTGATTGCTTAAACACTATCACCAGGCTTTTGAACTAAAATTTCAAAACCATAACGCCATTTATCAAAAAAGCACACCCATTTCCCTAAACTATAAACACTATTCCCCTTTTTGACACATGAATCAGATTTGTTGAACTGTCACTGCAAAACTCCACACACAAATCCCTTAATTTCTCATTGCCTAGACCATGTTGTCATTTAGAAAGCACTAGCATTCAATATTATTCACTGAAGTCAGCATAGCTTGAGCTCAATTAGCACAACGTTACCCACGTGGAAAACACTAAGAGTCAAAATTTATCACACACCAATCAGAACCT